GGCTGAACCGGGTTGTTTGCCAGCCCAGTATTCGGCTCTGAATTCTGTTTCACCCCAACCGTGGGTATATTTTACCTGGAAGTCGGCGCCATAATATTGCCGCGGAGCAATTTTTCCAATATTAGCCAATGAGGAATCGATGACGTATACTTTGTCGCCATTGTTGGTTGACCCGGTTTGATACACATATTTTGTACCTGTCTCCAACCGCCATGGAGGAAAGAAAGCCCGCCGCTAAAGGATAAGCGCTTCCATTGAATGGGCTTAATGGTAAGGCGGCTGATCAGATCCTTTTGGCTATCGAAGTCGGTGGTACCTGAAAGACCCTGGCCATTGAAAAGGCCGACATCAAATTTCAACAAGTGTAGTTTGTTTTGATTCAATTGCGGATCGAAAGAAACCATCACGCCGAGGTCTCTTTCGGTAGGCATGAGAATCTGGGACATGCGGCCACGTTCAGGAGTTTCGCGGTAAGCGGAAGAAAGATTTACTTCAAACCCGAACGGACGCGCAAAGATGCCCGTGGTCATGGAAAAGTTATGGCGTTTGGTTTCGTAGAGGCGGATGAACATATCGCGGACGTTCACGCCGCGTTCCGTCGCATCAACCTGGAAAGTGAAAAGCGCTTTGGCGAACTTATCTTTAGTGGTGACGAAATAATCAATCTTGACACGGGCGCGGCGAAGCATGAAGCGGCTTTTGGAGAACTGTGAAAAGTCACCACCATCATAGGATTTAGCACCGGCGGATTGGGCATATTGAAATTGAGATTGTATATAACCCGACATCCTGATGTTGTCGAATCTTTTTAGAAAGGGACGAACAGAGTCACGGATAAAAAGTGAGGAATCAAGATCACTCAGGTATCGCTGGCCGACGGCTTCCAAAAATTGAAGGCTAAATAACAAAGTGATAATCAGCGCAGTTAATAATTTTTTCATGATTTGATAATGAATATTTAACGCCTCCGTTTTTGCGCGTGCAAGGTAGAATTGGGTATAAGAATTTGATGTTACCTACCCGTTATCAAATTATTATCTCTATATTAAATTATTATTAACTCTCGGCGGGTAGGGCGACGCGTACTGCCAACCGGGTAATTTCGCACACCTTCTTTTGAGGGATAAAAATTTATAGATATGGCAGGTCTCAATTCGTTTCTCAAAAT